TCAGGAGTGGGACAGCATTGACAGGGCGTCCTAGATTCATACAATAAAGCAGAGATAATTCATCCTTGGATACAGCATTTTGATTTTGTTCTTTTCCAAACAGAGTGTGGGCAAGGATCCTATGGAAATAACGGATGGCTGGGTTATGTATCTCATTGTTATCCATACTTTCTGGGTCAGGGTGATAGTTTCCGGTTAAAGTAACCCAGAAGTAATCCAGCTCAAAATCCAATAAATCGGCCTCAGGGGTAGTAAAAGCTAAGGGTCTGCTGGGGAATCCTAATAAAGCAGCTAAGTCCCTATGGTTATAGGTGAACTCAATACCAAAAAGTCTGAAGGTAATGATTCCTTTTCGGGCTCCGACACCGTGTTCAGGGATGTAAACTAGAGAACTCAAGAACTCAAGGGTAAGCTCTCGGTAAGTGATAAACCTATTTTTCAGGTGGGCTTTCTCCCATCCCAACTGGTTAAACATGTAGTAAACATTGTCAGTAATGCCTAAAGAGTCCATAGTGGGTTCATCGTGATACAGGGTTAAACTGATGTCTCGCTGAGACAAAGCCTCAAATCTTCTTCGTTGGTTTCTACCTCTAAAGGTGGTTTCCATAAAGTTCTGTGGAGGAGCCATAGCAAAAACAAAGCGGGGAAACAGAGTAGAGGAGAAAGGAAAGAGAAAAAGACTATTCAGAAATCATGTGGTAAGTAAAATTGTTTTGAAATCAGCAGCAGTTTTATAAAAGTTTTTTAAAAAAAAAATGAAAAATACTTATATAGCAAGCAAAAAAAAATAATACAAACAAAATAGCAGGAAAAAACAAATAAAATGGGTTGCCTCCCATGAAGCGCTGTTTTTAACGTCATAAGCCTGACGAAATAGGAGTGCAAGCACTCATGGTGGTTCTCTCGAGGATGACTCCTCGGTTGAACTTTTAGTAGTTGTCATTTTCTATGGCCACTTATCAAGCCATCTCACATATCCCTCACCTTTTCTTTTCTTTCTTCTGTGGGGTGGTTCATTCTTCTGAACTTGTGGTGGTGGTTCTGGATCTATCCTAAGTATCAACTTTTCAAGTTTGGGCTTAGTGATTTCATCCACCACCTCAAAGGTTAACCTTACCTTCTTAACAGTAATTATATCCCTAGTTTCACGGTCCTCTAATTTTCTCTTTTTATACAAGACTTCCAACAAGGGTGCATTAGTGTGGATATTTTCCAATACCTCCACATACGTTTTAGATTTGGAGTCTATCTGAGCTTCCATAAAACTTTTCGAGAAAGGAAACGGTGGGGTATAGGGGTGAGGCATAACAGTAGGTGCTCCCTTTTCTACCTCTTCTACAACCTCCCTTTTAGATGGTGTTGGAGGATTTTTCTTAATCTTTACTCTTTCCTCGTCTGAACTCTCCTCATCCACATCATCACTTTCCTCAACCTCATTATTGCTCTCCTCAACCTCATTATCGCTCTCCTTAGGATTTTCAACTTGTTTTTCACTACTGGTTGTTACAACATCCAATTTCTCCTCAGGGAAGGGTCCTAGAGGGTTTTGTTCAAGCTGAGAGATTTGGGTCTCTAAGGCTATGTTGTGGGTCGCGAGCGAGTCAACCGCAGTGTTCAGTTGCCGAAGGATTTCACTGTTTTGAAGACTTTGTTTTCTAAACTCTTCGTTATGGACAATTTGTGTCTCTACAAAGTGCTCCATCAGAGATTTTAACCTAGAGTGAGTTAGCGTCGCATCGGAATCCTCCATTGATGTTTCAAAGTTGAAATCATGCGATTCTTCTGATTCTTTAAATTGAGTTAGAGTCGCATTTTGCGTTTCCGTAAAGCGCTTTGTCATCATCGATATTTCATTAAAATTTCCAATTAATATTTCGAGGTCGGATGTATAGGATACTTGCGTCTCCTCGAAATATTGGGTGTAGTGATTGTAGGGGAAATTTGGTTGAGGATAAGTTTGGTTGGAATTATAATATTCTTGCGATTTCTCAAAACATTGGGATTGGTGGTTGGAAAGGTAATTCGGGTGAGAATGAGTCTGTGATGCATTGAAATTCTCCAATAGTATTTCGAGGTCGGATTTATGGGATACTTGTGATTCCTCGAAATACTCAAAGTGGGGGTTGTAGAAATAATTTGGGTGATACATAGTAATTGGGACAAGATTTGTAGATGCAAAGGCTCGTTTTGAGAACGAGTGTTTGGCATACAACAGAGGGAAATATAAAAAGTTGCCTTAGTCTAGACAGCGTTGTTTTCAGATTACACTAGTGACTAAACTAAAGTCCCCGGCAACGGCGCCAAAAACTTGATGTGTCTGTGATCGACTTAATGTCTGACGGTATCTTAACTGCAAGCGCACAGCCTATCGCGGAAGTAATAAAAGGTTGTCGAATCCACAGGGACTTTGTAATCACTCTAGTGTTGTAAAACAGGTTGGTTTAGCTAAGGCGGAAATTGTCACGTTGGTTTTGGGAAGATTAAGGAAGGTAAACTAATTGATTTTAAAGTAATTATAAAATGAAATGGTCGGTATGCAATAGAGTCGACCTAAAGGATCTAATCGGGCCTAGGCATATAAGGATGGTCAACTTGGTTTATCCGTATAATTAATCAGTTTAAAAACCCTCAACTCACACTTTCATGGTCTTATCTCGGATTATACGTCTAAAGCCCTATACCTGCTTTCGCTAGCCTATAAGTGTTTAGAAGTATTTTTTGGAAACTTAATTAATTCTAATTTGGTTCAAAGCGCTTTCACTGTATTTAAATCAAATGCCTAACTTTAGCTATCCGGTTAAAAACCTCACACTTTCGTGGTCTCGATCTAACCTATTTACTCTTCTTACTTTCGTAACAAAGGTTTTATTATTAAGCATAAAAAGTTATAACCAGAGTTAAGTTGATTAAAGTTTTAGCCTAAGTTTGATCAGATGCCTAATGTCTCTTACTATCCCATACCGACACTAAAGGTTTAGCTAGCCATGGAAATTAAAATGAACGTACTGGAAATAAAAACAAACAAATATAGATTGGACATTATAAATAATAATAAAACTTGCATTAATTAATTAAAAGGTATGTAATACAATTGCAAAATAGAAACCTGGAAATAAAGCCAATACTTCAATCCCTCTTCCACAAATCGGAAACTCGGACTTGGTATCGGTAATATGACAAATTCTGAGGCTTGAATAATAAATCCTAAACTATAATAATAATTCCCTGATGTTGAAAATTATTATTTGGGCAATGAAATTAAAAGAATGGAAATAAACGAATGCAGAAAAATAACAACTGAAGGAATACTGGTTTTGATTTTGGCAGAGCTTCCGCACAAGTAAACTGTAAAAATCTCTGTACTTCTAACGTTGAATGTTGAGGTATTTATAGAAGAATAAATTTGGCAGTTGGCTTGAAAACTTATAACTAAGTTTTCCTTAAAAATCTCCAAAAATGTAGGAACGTGAGTAGTTGAGGAAGAAGTGGTGAACGTGGAGTTTGACTGGAGAGAAATAAGGAGTTTGGAAACTCCTTCTGTTTGCTTTGCCACGTTCTGCATTTTCCAAGTAAACTGATATACGCATTACGTTCGTTACATGAGCGTTACGAGCAGCTTTGGTCTTTCCCCGTGTTACGGTCGTGGCCAATGTGTTACGGTCGTAACACTCTTCAAGATGGCTTACGGTCGTGGCAGCTACATTACGACCGTCACAGCTACAAAAATGCAATTCTTTGACAGATTTATCTTTTTCTTCTGTTCTTTTGATGCTTTCTTGCATCGTTTCATGTTTTCTTCTGTTTTGAGCTGAGTTATGAATACCTGCAAAAAGCAATGACAAACTCGAAATATTCGGGAGTTAATCGGGTCAAAATAATACAGAACGGGTAAATTTCATGGAAAATAAACGATACAATTTCGTGTTATTAGGTACCAGTAGAAACAGGAGAAGAACCAGAAGCTGCCATTATAGTGTCTAGTTGATTAGCTTGAAAGAAAGTGCAGAAAACGAAGAGTTTTTTTGTGAGCAAGAAGCAAAAGAGAAGACAGAGGAAGGAAAGAAGTAACGTTATCCCAAAGAGGTTATTTAAAGAAAATTAGACCCGTCGATCATTGACGAGTGGAAGTGATCCAACGATAACAATCCCAAAAGTGGAAAAGTTAGTGGATTTTGTTTAAAAACCAATGCCCTAAAACCTATGAGTAATCATGATAAGTGATTGAAGGGACATGAGAAACTGTTGCGCAGAAAGTAACCATGATTACGCATGATGTCATCCCAAAAAGACATGTGATCGAAAACTTGGAAAAGAAAATGCTAGAGTTCTCTCATCGATAGGGTTCTGTCGAACATGGCATTTTAGAAGGGAATTTATTGACAAACAATTTTCAACTAGGGAAATAAGCCTTATGCTGTAAGGTTTCTTTGGCTGAAAAGGGATGAGTTTGTGGAAAACAATAGGAGGTGTCCACCAGATTGAAGGGTATCGACCAGAAGAACTAGCCGACAAAAGACATAAGATTCAGAGGCAGTCATCGACAGGCAAAAGGGTCGACGAGCAAGGATTTATGGTTATGGAAACGGTTATAAAACACAAGCCAGTAAGAACATGAGGATGTTTAAAGCAGTTTAGGGAAGTTGGTCCATAAAGTCCCAACATGGACTAGTAACCGTCGATGGTTACATATTTAGAATTTATATTTAAACAAATGTTTGTATTTGTGTCAAAGGTCGCATTTCTTCACATTTAGAGCATTACACTCAAAGTATCCGCATCTAAGAGAGAAACGAGTTTCAGGCTTAACAATGTATGAATGCTTCCATATTAAAATTCATAGCAATTTTTAGTTTTCACTTTAAATTATAAGTCTTGTCTTTAATTTCTTTACTTTGTAATTGTCTTTTACTTTGGCCTTTTAATTCAATATCAACCAGTTTCAACCCAAAACACTTAAAGCACTAAGTCTAAGATTATTGTAGCTAACCTTTAATAAGAGGCTAGCGATTGTTTCGCAGAGAAACAAAGGTATAATCCAATTCAAAAACACCCCGACCGACTGTTCCACTCACCCATTTTTCAAGAAGTAGTTGATGAAGAACAGTTGTAGCAGGAATTAGGACGGATCTAACTACCGTTTCATCTCCAAGACTCGATCCTAGAGCAAGGGATTCACTCATAATATCCGCCTCCACATTTGAATCGTCAAAAACAGCAGCCCTAACAACAACTTTGACAAAAGAGATGTTCTTATCAATGTCCATCGAACTCCTTGTCCTAAAATCCGAGTTATCTTCCAAGCTGAAGAACTCATCTCTACAAACACTACTATTCTCACTGGCTATCGATAGAGTGCTGTAAATAATCAAGTCTCCTTCTAATGATAATGAATCATCCTTATAAACTTATGGGGCTAAAATTCATCGCTACCTTGAGATATCATATTCAACAAAAGAATTTACCATTCTCTCTCATGCAAAGGTGGTGTGACTGCCGAAACGCCAACTTTATATTCCATATTATCACCAATATGATCCTCCTCAAAACCTATAAAAATACCAGCAGATATCATAGTTATATCATTTTATATCAACTCTGCATTTTCCATCAACTGAAGTCTCGAAACATCCATATGGTTAGCTATGGTTGAATTATCACACACTGAATTACTTGCTCTTAACGACACTGCAACCGACATTTATTCCATCACAACCTTTGTCGAATTAATACAAAAAGTCACAATCCCACCCTTCTAATATCACACAACTAGTTATATTTTCATCAATTTCCCACTCAATTTTTATCTACGATTGAATTATCACACACTGAATTACTTGCTCTTAATGACACTGCAACTAGCATTTCTTCCATCACAACCTTTATCTAAGTAATACAAAAAGTCGCAATCCCACCCTTCTAATATCACACAGCTAGTCATATTTTCACCAATTTCCCATTCGATTTTCCAATTGAAAGCAATCCAAGAATGCGGGAAGTAAACTCTGCAGACAATTTTTCATATCTAATAAAAACAAACTCAACCATCCAAAGCATTGACTAGTTAAAATGCAGTGAAATCGAAATTCAGATCTTGCCAACAACAATCCATCAGAACTTCCATTTTTAGATAATTTGACCAAAAATAGCTCTACCTTACACCTTTCAAAATACTACTATATTCCCATATGTCTATCTGTGTAAACTCTAGTGAAAAACAAACTTCTTGAAAGCTGAAACTTGAAAGAAACAAACTTTATCTGTAAAAACAAAAATTGCACCAAAAAAGAAAGATTAAATCCTCAAAAACTTATAGATATATACATACATATAGATTAAATCCAACAAGGAAGAAAGAAAAAGAAACCCATGACCCTTAAAAGATAAAAAATACCATTTTTCCACATAAAACAACCAATTCAGATAACAATTATACAATAAAAGAAAGGTAAAAGATTTCATTACCTAATTTGATTCTTTCTCGTGTACAGAATTTCACAATTTCTTGCTGAAATTGAAACATGAAACCATTAATTTGATTGACGAAATTAACAAAGAATGAAGAAAAATTGAATTTTTGTGATGTATTCTTTCCACATACCAGGCACTCCAAGTAGACACCAATGATTGTAACCCTGACTAGATGGATTATCATTCCGGTTACCAACATTGGCATCACCGTGGGGAGCCCACATAAATGTAACATGAATATTTATAGGAAAATTAACATTCTTTACAAATTCCATAAGTGTGTCTGAAAACGAGTTTTAGTTCATTGCATTAGTTTCAAATGTCAGGTACTGAACAGAGTTATTAATCACAGATAGCGGAACGGAGCAGCCGACCCCCGAAAATAGAAATTGTGAGAATAGCAAGATCTCAGTTAGCGGGATAATTTTTTATATACTAATAATTATATAATAATCTACTAAATTAATTTCACAACACTCATAAAATATTTATAAAATCTAATATTAAACAAAGAACAATAATTATTATTAATGTTCTCTTTAAGTTGCCTTTAAGTTTTATTATTAATATTATTATTTTTATTAATAAAACATTTAATAAAACTCATCTAGTCTTTAAGTTTTCAGGTAGGAGTAATTTTTCAGAATCAAATCCAATTTGACAATTACTTTTATTACTTATAGCTGTAGGTCATTAATTTTACAGTCGTATATTAAGTAAAAAATTTATATTAAATTACTTTACAACTGTTGATAAGATTGAACAAGTTGCCTTTTTACTTTTGAACTCTTTTTTATCAATAAAACAAATCTCTTTCATCTTCTCTCCACCTTCGCTGTTCTTCTACATCTCCTCTATCATCTTTTCTTTCATAAATCCAGAAGAAAAAAAGTGAAAAAAAATGAAAATCAGTCAAAACCGTTCCGCCCGGGAAGAACCCACGATCCGCGACCCAGTTTCGCGATCTCCGCGACCGCACCCAATGAATTGCGCAAGTGGGTGCTGCACCGCTCCGGTGCGCCGCGATTCGCAACTCTGGTACTGAGTTACATTGCAAGTCCTACGTGTCTGATCCCTGCCGTTATAAAGAAGGCATAGCCAGTAGGCAAGGTTTCAAAGGTTAGTGAATCTTGTGTGTTACAGTTCTATAAATCAAGCATCACTTGCGACATGTAGGTATAACTTGAATTTTGAAGCATCGTTATAAGAAAATGAATTGGAAAGCTAAAACATATCTACAAATAAAGCATAGTGTTATCGGTTATGTGTGAATACCGCCAGTGAGATGGCTCAAAAGTCCTAAAAAAGACGCGTGTTCTATTTTTATCAATCTCTCTCTCAATCCAAGAAGTCCAAATTTCGAGTATTATTCTATAGGCACAAGAAACCGACATCCCAAGCTTCATAGAGCTTCAAACCTGGAAATAACAACCCCTATTGAATGCAAGAACAAGATCATTAACAACTAAAAAGATCAAAGTGAACATAAATCATTACACAATCTTTTGATTCAAATGTCTCGACTGTTACATAAATTCTAAAACCTAAAATCATGATGATGAACCTAATAAGAGAACAATGGCTATGCTGCTATGGTGAACTATTCAAGGTAGTGAATAACATTAAAATCAAACTGTAGAAGACATATTCATACATAAACAAAACTAACGGGAATGCTCACATTGTAATCATCGATATTGTAGAGCATTACGATAAAAAAACATGGCCAATGCAACTCTGAAATAACAAAAAGAATGTAACCTTACATGTAGAAAAGCTTAGATGGAACCTACCAGTGACCAGTATTGAATATAAGAATATCTGAATTAATCCATTGACTACTTATATCATCTAACTTATCCAATAAAAGTGTCGATTTAACCTTTTCGGCGAATGTCGAAGAACCTAACCCTGTTGCACCAAGTAAACCGATCGAAGAATACTCAACCGTAAAATTGAAATCACTAAACCTAACACCTAAAAACTTAATCCTCTTACTAATCTGATTCAGATTCACTTTATAAACATTCATCTTATCCTCCACACCAGCCATCAACATACAAATCAAAGACTCCCATTGAGTCCTACTCATAGAATCCCAACAAAACAACCCTTTTACTCCTCAACATCTCCAAAACAACACCAACATCAAGAGAGCTTCTTAGCAAAAGATACAAATAAATAAATCAACAAAGTAACCATCGAATGGGTTACAACCACAAAATAAGAATGAAACCAGAACCTAAAAAACCCTAAATGCTAAAAACGAAAATGGAAAATGATGAATTGGAAAGAAACGGGAAGGAATGAAGAACCGAGGAAGACTGTCTTTAGAAATTGAGAAGATTGTCGATGATTACTCTCACAAATATGAAGGAAATCGAGGAAGATGAAACAAAAATTGATAAAAATTGTAATAAATAGGAATGAGTGGTTTATTGAGTGTGAAGAGATCTATTATTACAGTGGTGTACCTTATATCCAATGGTTCTTGTTCATTTAAAAAAAGGTCTCTGATGTGAGAGACCCACACCACTTGCGCACCATAGACGACACATTCTTTAACAGGGTAATGATGTTGCCTCTGTTAATACCAGTACTTTCACCTCCAGCAATGCACGAGATAAATCATGGACAGTGAAAATATTTTTTTAGAATTTCTATTGATAAATAGTTGAAATACATATAAATTAAATTAATGGTGGGAGCTGAAATAATTAATATTAAATATTAATTAATATATTAAATAACATTTATTAGAAAAAAAAAGAAAATAATATAATTAAAAAGTGTTTAGACAAAATTTACTCAAAATTTAACGCTAAATATATATTCTAGTTTAATATATTAAGGATTTATACATATGTATAAGTTAGATTTTTACATTAAAAAGTTTTCAACAATGTTTTTATAATTTTAAATCATTTAAATTAAGTCTCTAAACTCATACACATAATTATAAATTATAAAATAAATTAGTAAAAAATTCGTGTTATCGCAGAAATTTTCTATATAATGAACCAAAATTTACATTACATATTTTTTACTATTAATTTTTAAAATATATCAACGGACTCGAAGCGGAGTAGGTGATATGTTTTCTCACCCCTACTTTAATTGACTTTAATTAGTCTAACTAAGTATTTTAAAATATTTATTTTTCACTTCATTTTTGTAAGCTATAAAACAGTTAAAATTCTCGTAAAAAAATATAGTTAACATTTTTCTTTTAAGATTTAATCTGAGGGAATAAAATTATTTTATTTAAGTATTTTGCTGGTTATTTTGTTATTTTAAAATTTTTCTTTTTCACTTCATTTTTATTTTGGTTATCTGGTTATCTTTTTCTAAAAATATTTTACATATTTAGTGATCTTATTGTTCACATTATTAAATTATATTTATTATTATTTTTTAAATATTTTACAGTATTTTAACGTATTATTGAATTACTAATGTTTTTTAGTAGTTTGGTCGATAAATCCACCGACTCGTCAGGTAGCCATAAAATGGATTAAAAGTTTTAAACATATACTTTCAAAATTATCATTTTTAAATTTATAGAATAATATATATATATATATATATATATATATATATATATATATATATATATATATATATATATATATATATATATATATATATATATATATATATATATATATATATATATATATATATATATATATATATATATATATATATATATATATATATATATATATATATATATATATAATTAATCTAAAAAACTAAAATATTTATAATAAAAAATGGAAGGAGTATTAATTAACCCAACCTTAAAAAAAAAAATTATACTGACGCCTCTATCTCAAAATAAGTATTTTAAATATGTTCTACAAATTTAAAAAATATGAATGAAAAAATCTAACCATTTAAAAAAACTATTCTCAATTATTAATGGCTATTAATTAACGTTGTATGGGATAAAGAATTTATGTGATTTTAAAGTGGGTAAAAATGAATTAATATTTTATATAAAAAAAAAGAAGAAGTAAAGAAACACTTTCTAAAAGAAACACTTACGGGTAGAGATGTTCAAAACCAAACCGGCCCAATAGAAAACCACAAAATCGAACCGAATCAAATCGAAATTACAAAAAACCGCATTTGATTCGGATGTGTTTGAGTCATTTTCTCGTGGAACCGCATGATTCGGTTCGGTTTGCGGTTTGTATTTTACAAACCGAACCAAACCAAACAAAATCGCATTATGTTATAAAATCTTACTAACCAATATATATTTCTATAATTCTTTAGAGAAATCAACATGTATTATGTGTATATTTTATCATACTTTGTATTATATTCATTTTAATTTACAAATCATAAAAAATAAAATATTATTCATTTATAAATATTATTTTCACAAAATATATTTTATCATATTCTTTATATAATATTTATTTAAGAATGCAATCTTGTTGATATCATTATTTAGATTTAGATAAAATTATAATACGCAATTTTATGTATCAAATTATAAATTTATTTTGACAATTATAAATTTTTTATGGTAATGTATGAACAATTAAATATAAAATTATATTTTCCTATATATTTGTATGTATGACATAATAATTATTTTTGTAAAAAACCGAAACAACCGAACCAATCCAAACCGCATTAGTTTAGTTTGGTTTGGTTCGGATTTATTTTTAAAAGCCAACCGAACCAAACCGAACCGCATGTTTTTTTCTCTCTTGCGGTTCGGATGATTTTTTGCTTCAAAATCGCCCAAACCACACCGCGAACACCCCTACTTACGGGAGAGAGGGAGTAAGAGTAATATAAAACTTTTTTAGCATTTTTTATTTTTAAATTTGGCCTATAGTTTTAGTTAGGAGGTTTAATATAATGCCTAATAATCATTTCATATTATCTTCTTTAATATGTATTTGTAAGAAATCTATGGTATCGTATGAGTCTCGTGGTATCTCATAGGAAATTATAAATATTAGCTAATATAATCCACAAACTGTGATTTCTTTATCTAAATAAAACATTGAAAAACAAATGATATACACTGTGGTTGATGTCCTCTTGTGGAGGTTTTTAATTTCTCTGATTGAGAAGTCATTCATGATCCTATAGTTTTACAAAACCCCTTGCAATTATGATTGAGAGGCCAACCGTCAAAATTCTTGATGAATATGCATTGTAATCTTCTTTGGAGGGTTAGCATTGATTTTGAGACAATCACCAAGATGTAGCCTCATATTGTTATCACTCTCATTACTATCAGTAGGAAAAATTTGGTTTTTCTGAACAATATATATATATATATATATATATATATATATATATATATATATATATATATATATATATATATATATATATATATATATATATATATATATAGTGGAAACATAAATCACAATCCAACATAATAGAAAATAACTTGCACCTAGAAACTGTGTAAAAATATCATGAACTAATTTATCTATGTCATCATCAAATACTTATTATGTAGTTTCAGAATTTTGATAGACCCATTATGAGAAGGTGGCTATAAAGGAAGTCAGGGGAGAGGTAAGGGGCCGGAGTGAACTCTATTGAATGGTTTTACAGTAGCTTTAACTGTATAGAGAAGTCGTTTCTCTATCAGCAAGGGTGTTATCTTCTAGTACAATTTTCTGTTTTCATCTCGCAAGGAGCTAGTATGCAGCCATCTGCATAGTTTTTCCATTAATTTTATGAGATTGCAACACTGTAACAAATACAGTATATATCTAAGGTAGCGAAAATTCAGTATTATTCAATTTCACCATTCCAATTTCAGGTACCTATCAAATTTAAATAGCACACATTTTTCACTGTGTAAGGTCCAATTTGTACAGCAGTTTAGAAACTTGTAGCTAATTATGTGCTCATAAATATCAACCCGAGAGTACCATTTGCAGTTGACATATTTGTTGTGTATAAGATGTTTTCATCATTTGATGAATTAGCAAAATGTCCAAATCTAATAAATTATGAATTCTAGCAATAATTATACATTTTCATATTGCTTGCAAGGTTTACCCTCCCTGATTGAAGACACATATTGCTTACCCCATCTCTCAATCTAAAATATGCAAATTATCCATTAGTATATCTATTTTCAAAAAACAAAATCTTCTTCAAGGCATAACCTTAACCGCAAATTAGCACACTCTCAAAGAACTTACCTGTCTTCTGCAATAATCATTATGTCACTCGTAATTTCCAATACCAATGGAATCCACATTAACAGAATGTATGAAGCTAAGGTCTTGGCAGTTTCGCAATAAAAGATGTATTGGCTGCAAAGAGAAATTGTGAGAAAGTACTTTTTTAAATAATCACTTTTTAAATGCAAAGAAAAATACTAACCCTCTTCTGCATATATTCAATTTCAGCGAATAACAGCTCCTACTGAGCATGTCCTTTTCATCATCAGTTTCATATGCATCGATACGCATTCGACCTGCAAACGTGTGAGAACAAAATCAGTTTCATACATAAAATATGCCATTCGAAATACATACATACACACGCGATTAACACATAACTCATCACTTCCAGCTCTTCCACTGGTAATTGAGATTCCTGCAATCTCATTTGAAGCGCTATACGTCTGAAACAGAGCAGTAACAAATTTGAAATAATTAATAACACTTGATATCACATATATACAACAGAAATTGGCCAAATCTATTGTTATGAGAATAGAGAACTTACAGCATTAGGTGGTTCGAATTAAAATACCTGAAACTCTGTCATGAGATCCCTGAATTTCTTAATCAAGAAATTGTGATTGCAAGAAAAAGTAGATATTTCAGTTTCTCAAGATGTTTTATCAAGTAAGCTAATAAAAATATGTATTATAGATTTACTTTGTCATATTCATCCTTGCTCTATCGATACCAGTTCCCTTCTCACAGCCAAGCTTTTGTCTATTGTTTAGATTCTGCACCCAAAAATGTCCCGATTATATAACTCCTTTATAACAAACCGACATATACTAACAAATATCCATCTAGCATCCCTTTACTTCTCTGTTGATAGCTTAAATTTTTCGGTTTGACTCCATATGCAATCTTTCCAACTGCATTGATATTTTTTCCATCCTATTCTTGATAGCTGAGAATGATGTAAAAGGTCTATTTAGTCAACTTGAAATATTTTTTAACTAAAAACAATAGAGGAATTGCGTGTAGACAATACCTTTCATGGCAAATGCTTCCTCCAATGTAACAGCTTTTGATTCCTCATTAGCTTCCTGCAAACAAAAGGTTCATTTAACAATAGTTATAAATGAGACAGTGCAGCTACAAAGTACTAAATGATGAAGATAATGGATATACCTTTAGCTTTTGAAGCAGCACGGATACCTTATCGTTTTTGTTTATCGCGGCATCTTGGATACATTCGCGGTAACCACTCCAACTTCAACCACCGAGATTTTTCTCCCTTTCGTTAACAAATTGCAATTAGAAAACTCCTAGGTTAAATCTCAGATATCTTTAACAAAGAATCTTCAAACTCAAAGTAAGTTAATATTTTCCCTAAATCAAATCCATTTCATCATTTCATACAACTCTTTCCAGCAAATTGAAGCCAATGCATACTCAAATCATCCCATTCAAACAAAATTTCAAGCTACAACTAAATCACATGACAAATTGTTGTATTGTAATAATTGGCACAAACACAGAAATACAAAAATGAACCTGGTAGGAGATGAAGAAGAGACTTGCGAAGCTGAGAAGGCATTATTATCCTGAGAAGAAGACGAAGATTGAGCATAAGAAGGAGCAGTTAAAGCCGGTGGCGACGATTGAGTGATTCAAACCTTCTCTTTGAAGTCTTTAAGCAATGTAACACATTTCATCGTAATTAATGGATTTTAGCTTTGGAATTAGAACGATTTAAGTTTATAATCAAAAGATTAATTGTAGTTATTCAAATACTTTGTTTTTATAAATTTATACTAATAGATTATCAAGGGTTAGTTTGTAAAAACGATCATGGTTAGATGGTTCATTAGTTCGGATAAATAAAAAAATTAATTAAGGAATCAAATAACGAATTATTTATTACTAACTTGTAAATTGAAGAGAAAAATATATAAACTAACCATCTAAATTAATTTTATATTATTAATTAATCACTATCATATATTATAGTTAATCATTAAAATATTTTATAGTCATGTCAATGCACTATATTTTATTCTCTAAATTCAATTATTAACTTTAGTTACTTCCCCGTCAAATTTAATTTCTTAGCAGGGTTAAGAAAACAAAAACTTTTCCTCCATCCAACCTTGAGCCATCAGGAAATTGATCACTTATTTGTTTCCAAATCTGCAGAAAAGAGAGTAGCGGATGAAGAAGGTCACAGTAATTGCGTCTATTTTCCTCTTCTCCATACTCCGTTTTCAAGAACTCCTACACGTTTCTTCATCGCCTCACTTTTACGGAAACCAGGTAACGCATTGTATAATTTCTTAGTTTGGGAAACCATATAATGAATTTTTAGATTTCTAACTGAAATATTACATTATAAGTTTAGGTTATTTTGATGATAAAAAAAATTATTAACATTTGACTTTGATTTCCATTACCAAAAGAAATTACCAACTTAATGTTTGCTTTCTTTTGAAATGTTTGCTCCAGGTTCACGAGGAATCTTCTGGTGGAAAAAGGTATTGAAATGGATTCACAATTTATTTCTTTTTTTTTTATTTTTAATCAACACTGCATTCAAATTTTTACTTGGCACTCTTTTTTTTTTAACTAGAAATTTAAAACAGGAGCAGGAGAATGCTCCTGAAGTGCGCTGCTCCAGAGATAGAAGTAGGGCTGTGTGGAAAGTTATAGACGAGGTACGGGAAATCCGAAATTCCTTTTACAATCATTATAATAATTAGGGATTACGCAAATATTGAGTTTGCGGTGTATTCTGAAACGATTGATTTTCATCATACGCCACTTCTATTAACGGTCTCTCTGAACTGGTATGCTTCCTATATATGTTTTTGTAGTATTTAACACCATTTGTGGAGAAAGAAAACTACGAGCTTTCGAAAAAGTGCAGACTTCACCCTGAGAATGATATGTTTAGGGATCAAGAAGAGCATAAAATTTACTTAGACAGAAATGAATGGCGCTGTGGATATTGCAAGAAAAGCTTCCGCGAAGAAAAGTTTATCGATCTGCATTTTGATAAAAGGCACTACAATCTTCTGGATCTAGTATGTTAATTTTCATTTACTGAGTATCTCTATTCTTATTTTTCTATTGGCAGAAATCTAGAATGCTCAATATTACTTCATAGCTATTACTGTTTTCCATGTCAAATCTGGATATGATGATGCGACGCCTATTAATTTTCATTTCTGTTGCATCAGAATGTGATTCTATACTCTTAATATTTAAGTAAGCGCTTTTTTTTTGTTATCATTTGTACCCAGTTCCTATTAACATAAACCTGATTAGGTCAATATCCAAAATATAAACAACCAAAAGCACGTGAAGCTATCTGATTTTGCATAGTTCACTATGTTTCCTGACTCTTTCGACTGGCAGGGTTCACAGCCCCCCTCGTTGTGAATCCCGATGTGGTAATTATAACATTGGATGTGGAAATAATAAACTCAAGACATACTTGTTGGAAGTTTGATTTGAGATTGACTTAGACTGATCTTGAAGTGTAATTTTTTAATTTAATCTGAAAATATTTTTTCCACAATTCCTTTACTCGGGGGTTAATTTAAATACAGAGTCATGGAAAATGCTTGGCTGATTTATGTGGGGCATTACACTGTGATGCTGCGAAAAATTCCAAGTTCTCTAGAAGCAAGTGTAATCCAGCAGCTGCTGCAAGAAATCGTCACCTATGTGAGGTTGCTTTAATATTTTGTTTTTCATTTACTTTTATGTTCATTGTAGATAAACTTTGTACATGATCCATATGCATTATTTATCAGAGTCTTGCGGACAGTTGTTTTCCTATAAGCGAGGGTCCGTCAGCAAGCCGCCTTCATGGTATACTTATGTTTTCTTTTTCACTTAACTCTACTGTTCCACCATGATGTCACTGGTCACTCCTTTCTTCCTTTCTTTCAACTCTTCGGAGTTTTTATATCTGAATCTATGTGGATTAATTTCTTATGTTGATTTTCTGGTGCATTGGTAGAGGTGTTTCTGCACCAATTTTGTGAAGCTCACTCCTGCTCAGGGAAACATAAACCCTTCTCTAGAGGAGGCAAGGTAAGACCTGATTATCTCACCATGGAACTTTTTTTATCAATATCCCTCTTATTACACATATCAAAGATGGGATTGCTAACTTCAGTAATACAGGGATATTTATCCTTCTACTCGTAGAGTATTTGTGTCGAGAGGTATAAGGCCTTGAGCTATTCACAACGTCAATAATAAAAAGCCTTACTGACATTACATGAATGGTTGCCTTTTGGCAAGCTTAAACCATCATCTGAGGTCAAACGTGCAGTCACAGGGGCTTTCCTTTTCTATCAGAAAGCTTTTCGAATTTTTAGGCTTTAGAATGTTGTCTTTTTAAATAATCAATACATTATTCGGTGCCACTGTTGTCTTTTTAACTAATCTATTCTCAAAGAGAATGCATATCAGTAAGCTATTTGTCAATTGTGATACCTTGCTTCTTCAGGATCAAGGAAGTTTCTTTCGCCTGGCTGTTGGAGCATTGGTCTTGGTTTTACTTCCTGTGTTTTATCTCTTTCTTTATTTGATACAAAGGTATCATTTAAATTTTTTCAAATTCTCTTTTACCAATCAAGATTTTTCACCAGTATTTCATAATGCTTACGGGCAAGTTTCAGTGATATGAAGGGTCGGACTCAAGAGCTTCGTCGCATCTCTAAAGCTGGATGGAAAGCAAAGCCAGCATGATTGCTGATTGGTAATGTTTATCATTCATCAATATTTAGTTCTACTGAAACTCTTTACTTTCGCTCTTTTCAGAAGTCCTAATCCCTTCTCTCTCAAAATTATGCTGCAACTAATTACTCTTTTTTTCCACTCAATCAAAACCTCTTATCGTGTGGAACTCTTTTACTACTGCAGGTTAGACCGTAGGTTAGACCGTAGCAATCATCGACTATGATGAATGAGTTGACGAACATGGGAAATATAATGTCTAATTTTGAGTTTTGTCCTTTCCCTTGAGTAGACTCTTTTTGCATGTCCGTGTCAATGAAAGGAATTGAGGAGAATTATTAAGAGTGCATGAAGGAAATCAAACTTTGATTAATCTAAAATCTAAGCTCACATTCCCTGAGGCAGTGAAGGTATGAAAACATTGCTTCAGGATCATACATCTTTTGTCCGTTGAGCCAAGAAAGAGGTTATTAGCCGATCAATTTTCTAATCCATATGTTCTGTTTTGCTCAAAGTTTGTGTAATCACTCACCTTCTATACTCTAAAAAACCTCAATCCTCGATGGAGCAGTTGATAAAGCTGTAGAAAGGATTGTTACTATACTAGCTATCAACTGTGGGCTTGTTTGAATATGTTTGCACCATTAAACACTCTTCAGTAGGTGATGTTATTTGTTTCTTTAGAAATTCCATGCACACACATTCATACAAATTAGAATTACATTGGTGTATGTATGTACTGTGCCTGCAAAAATTCAAGTGCAATGTGAGCCATAATATCCACATTAAAGACTCATTTAATTCAATATCATTCATCGGGGGAAAAAAGCTATATCAAATGTGTTAACAATTTTTATTTTTATTTTTTATGTATGTACTGTATAATTTTTCGAAGGGCTTACAAGATGTGAAAATTACATTTTATGTTAGAGGTGATTCATCAAATTTGACACTATCTTATATAATGTTATATTATATCAAATATTTGTGCATTATAAAAATTCTATGAAGCTTCTAAAAAAAAAAGGTTTCCATCAAGCTTTAACAATTGTAACTTACTATATCTTAGAAACAACTTTATTTGAAATATCATAGTATTAATCATATGTAACACCCATTCAATTAATTCTAACTCAGCGAGATGCCTTTTATAAAAGATAAAATCATGAGAGTTTTCACATAAAAGGTGGACAATATCTCGCAGCTGGAAGGACGGATTTGTCATCGATTGAAATATTGATGTTGTACGTGGGAATTCAAAGTTTACCCTCTTCTACATTGTTTGGTAATCCAGATTAAGGATAGTTTGTTTACAACAATCACACACTTTAATCTCATGAGATGTATTTTTTCTTCTAAATAACAAAGTCGTGAGATTTCTCACACTTAAAATAGACAATACCTCGTAATTATATAATCCTAGACTTTAGATCAACCAAAACACTGTGTCCAACTATAATTGATGCATATTATGATATATTTTTACTAAATAATTCAACAAGTAAAATATAAAATGATCATATCGGTTAGTTGATAATGTATATGATTAATTATATTTTTTAGGGTTATGTTTAAATACTTTTGTATTTGGGGTTGTATTTGCAGTGTTATATTTGTGAGAAACCTAAATAGAGGCGACTCCAGGGTCCCCGCCTAACGTGATATCGTTAGAGCGACATTCTCACAGAACGTGAGGGCTCTTCCTTGGAGGCAGATGACATGTATAGTATTGTTATCTCTCATTATTCATATGAGTGAGTCGTACCATGACTCTCTGGAAAATAGGTAGTCAACAATCTCCCATAGTCACGGGGAAGCGACTACTATCTCTAAGGGTTTCCTAAATCCTAGGCCCAAAAGGTCCTTACATATACTTCTCTCAAACGGTAGAAAAGACAGATCCTAACTTACGCCTAACACCGAAAGTATAACGCTTATACACAGAGCCTCTCACCTCACGTGAGAGGTCTTCTAAAACCATCATACATGATTTCTCACTACCGCAGATAAGCCCTAATCACCCCAAATTGTTATAAACCTACTAAGGCCAGTGAGTATTTCCCTACACTTGTAGAGATACCATCCACACCTGTACTTTTGGACCACTACAATGGTCCCTGATAAGATTAACTTGGGTCACGCCTTCTTCATAATGATCATCATACTCATTGTCATCTTCCACTAGTATACCTAGCTTTTCTCAGCCATGGTTAACAAAAGGGCTTCATCCCCTACGTCAGAAAATACCATCATAGCGGTGATTCCAACGTCCTAGCAGAGATGTGCGTCGCCATATAAACAATGGGTTAACTCAACTTCAACAACATGCATATTACCCACTTCAAAATGGTCATATTCACATGTTCAACTAAGTTATTTAGTTGTGATGTGCTAGCTGCGATAATATGTCTTCTTATACATTGTTTCTTGTAAAAATTCATTAATCTTGAAACAAAATCCATGTTATTGTCAGGTCTTAAAACTTTCAATTTAGTTCATGTATGAATTCTTACAAATGATTCTTTAAACTTTTCAAAAGTGTCACCTTTGTATTTTAAAATGTAAACTCATATTCTTTTAGAAAAATTATCAGATAAAGTGAATAAAATATATATCACTCTTGTGAGTAGACACCATTATTAAAACTTAAAGATCTGAAAGAACATACACTAAATATATATTAAAATTATTCATATCACTGTCAAATTTTACTCTACACTGTTTTCTTAGTACATAATGATCACAAAATTTTAATTTTTTTCTTCTATTTTTCACTACCTATAAAACCTTGGTTAGCTAGTTTAACCAAACCCATTTCACCAATATGCTTTAACTCAAATTCAATAGTTTGATTTTATCATAAAACTCTTAACGAGATATTGATGCATTACCAATAAAACTGTTGGTACCATCCAAAACATTTATATTTTGGATCCTTTAGCAATTACTAATGCATATGCAAAATTTTCAAAATATCATGTTTAATTCCAGTGCAATAACCAACATCATAAAATAAGCTTATGATTAACATTTTTGTTTTAAGTTCAATAACATAACACACACTACTTAAAAGCAACTCACGATTGTAAAACATCTTAAGTTGAACCCTTCTTATACCACGAACACGACAAGCCTTATTACTTCTACCTTAAAAGTATGAGAGTTTTCTTTATTTGAACATGTGTGATAAGAGACTTAATTTAATGACACAACTCCTCTCTGTCTCAAAATTTGTAACCACTAACACATGAACACTCATAATTATCTTCATTGAAGGAATTACCCTTGTTCCCCCCCTCTCAAGACAATATTTCATGAAATGATATATCTATTTAATATAAATCCAAGATAGTTATGATAGCAACCCTAACTACATGTCATTTTGATAATAATTTTAAATATAAATCTTAATTATATTTTTACTAATTTATCATTACATTAAAAATAAATAATAATAATAATTTAATATTCATCTATCACTATTATAAATAATAATAATAATAATAATAATAATAATAATAATAATAATAATAATAATAATAATAATAATAATAATAATAATAATAATAATAATAATATAATATCTAGTTACCATAATTATAAATAATAATAATAATAATAATAATAATAATAATAATAATAATAATAATAATAATAATAATGTAATATTCAATTACCACTATTATATCTTATTATTTTAATTCTCATTTTTTATATAAAAATATTTAATTATCAAATTAGTCAATAATATATATATATATATATATATATATATATATATATATATATATATATATATATATATATATATATATATATATATATATATATATATATATATATATATATATATATATATATATATATATATATATATATATATATATATATATATATATATATATATATATATATATATATATATATATATATATATATATTTAAAGTGATAGGATAGTTTAAAGTTTATACGTATTTTATTTTAGTAGTTTAATAATATAATTAAATATTTTTTCTAAACCAAAAAATATATGTTAAAGAAATCAAAGAGATAAGATTTATAAAAATAATAATTTTAAAATGGAACTAAATATTATGTGATATAATAAATTAAAGTTTATAAGTATTCTATTTTTATAATTTAATAATATAAAATATTTTTTAACTTTATTTATAAAACAATTTTCTTTATTTATGTTAAAATATTTTTTTTTTATAGTTTTTAAACTTAAAATGTATAATAGTTGGTGTTTTTGTTTAGGAATCTTTATTTTTTATTTATTATTATATAAAAATTATAAAAGTTAATAACACTAATATAACTATATATTGATTTAACTTTTTTTGTTTGAATCCTGACTCAAGGAAATTTTTTATAGTTTTTGTAAAAAAATAACTATAAATTAATTTTACTAATTCCTTTATCATTAATATATTTTAATTGTACATTATTTTTACAACAACTTTTATTAATTTCTATCTTTAATGATCATTGAATTGACTATTTATATAATTACTCATTTTTAAAAATTTAATTCTTAAATATCTTTAGATTAATTTTAATAACTCCTTTACATTTTCCTTGAATTTACTGTTTATAAAACTCTTCATTTTCTTAACTTTAATTCTTACATTTTATAATTATATATTCTACTCTATTAATATATTCCACCAAAAAATAATCTCATTTAACGAGTTTTTAAAACAAATGATTTTTTGTATTATTAAAACGTATTTATCTATGTAATAAAAAATCTATTTATTTAAAATACAATTTCATATTAATTTGTAAATTTTTTTCTAACTTAATTTAATATCTAATGATACAACTCCAAAAAATTATTCTATACAAGAATTTTCTTAAATCCTTAAATATTTAATATTTTTTTATTTATATATAAATAAACATAACTTAAATTTAAGAATTATTTCTTATACAACAAAACCAACATTAAGGATTTATTTGAATAATTTAAAATTAATAGAATAAAGCGGAGTGAACAGAATATAAT